GTATATACATATATAATGTATAATAATTGAAATGTGACTGATTTTCAAAATACTAGTCCACTGAACATAGCCAAGACAGGTCATTTGTAAAGACTAAAGGTCAGTTTTATATTATTGGATATGGTATCACAAGTGCACATGCACTGCATCATTGTAACTTCTGTATTGTTAGCCAGGCATGTCTGGAAGGTCAATATAATAAAAATAATAAATATATATAAATGTATTATAATCTGAGATTTAAGATATTTAGACTAAACATTTGTGTTTTCGTATTATAATTTGTAGTCATTCTAGAACAAAAAAGCATAATTTAAATTTATTTCCCAATTTTTTATTGTTGTTACAAGGCTTGTCAAATTGACAGACCCCATAGAATTTGGGGAAGAGAAAATAACAGAAAAATATAAGGTTTTACTTAAAACAAACGTTTGAAATGTATATAGGAGGTTTTAGAGATTACACAAATAATATTTGAGAATTTTGGGAAAATCACTTTGCACTTGGACTGGTAACAAAACAGACTCAATATTTTCACAAACAAATCTATAATAAAAATTTTTTGTGTACAAACGACTTTTAATCTATTAAAGATCTACCAAATTTTGTGAAGATATACTTACTGCATTAAAAGTTACAGTATAAATATTTAAGTTCTGTATATTATACCAAGCTCATCGTGAAAGGGTTAATGGAACTTCCACCCCTAAATGTAACAATGTGTACTGCTCCAGTCTATTATGCAATGAAAATTAGATTATACCTCTCCACCAGTAGGAGGACAACACATTCTTCATGCTCAGTACTCTATTTAAGCACTTTGTGTATATGAAAATTACATCTTTTCTTTGGACTGTAGTGTTCAGCTATTTTCTTCTTTTATTAAGAATTATGGAAAATTTTCACTTATTATTTTCAACTTTTAGTTAATGTTTATCATCCTTACCTTCATTTTCTTGATTTCAAGAAAGAAAGATACAAATTTTGAAATTGATTTCAGTTATGTTTTTCATATGAATTATCTTTTTTTTCTTATATTACTTTGATTTCTTCTCTTAATCAAACTATGAGATTTTAGGACATGTGTTCCTATGTCTGTGATATGTTTTTTGTTTACAGGAATATTCTCCATCATAAATAACCAGTGTTCAGGTTTTGGCAGAAGCCAATAATTAAACTCAATCTGCATTAGTGCAAAATGACCAAAGGCCTAAGTACCATAGACGTACCGGTCTACTGTAAATAAATACCCTTCAAGAACCTTTATTAAGAGAGAGAGAGTTATGAGACAGTTAGTGAATTATTGCTGTTTATCACTTGATATTGTTATTGATATACTGGACTTCTGGAGATTTCAGAAATGTACTTATGAGAAGTTGTATTCAATAAGTTTAAGAAATTGAATTCAAGGAAAGTACTAATATTATTATTATTTGTATATGTTTTTTTCAGTAGTGTAATGGTCTAAAATAAACATGCCACTACAATCAGGGTTAAACAACAAAAAACAATTTACTCAACAATACCAACACTTAGAAAAAAATTCAACACTTACCAAAACACAATTAACAAATAAGTGCCTGGCCAGGACTTCACACAATATTAATAAACAATATATTATAAATGTTAATAACATCACTATTATTTAAACTATGGAATCAGGAAAAATGACCAAGTTCAAAAAAAAATACAGCAAATACAATGTTCCAAAAAACATCTTTCCCTCTTCTCCAAAGGAGTTGTCTTATTTTCCTTAAATGGTGTTGGAGTTGCTTTGATGATGAGCAATGTTGCTTCCATTGTAAATCACATGGTTAATTCTATCCTACATTCTTTATCTCAGGCCTAGGACTCATGAACTCTTGCTTCTGTAACTTATGCTGAATTTTTTTCATAACGTTCACCAGCTCCTTTTTATGTCAGGCTCAGATATCCATCCTTCTTCACAATGTTTTGCACTTTCATCTTCATGTGTAGCTTTTTTCTGGTCGTCTGCAAGACAAACAGGTTTTTTTTACAGAGTAACCTGTTTTCTTGCTTGCTCTTGTCAGCCATCTACCATTGAAATTTATCACCAATAGTGGATAGTTTGTAGATGTTGATCCTTTTGCCACCCTCTTCCTCAAGGGCATTGGACTCTTCTAATCTCACTTCCTTTTTTACCTGGCTATTTGAGAGTAGTCTATCTGTTTCTACTATTGGTGATTACAGAGAAGCTTTTTCATAAATCTTCCATCCTTTCCTTGGCTGTTATTTTCTTTCTTCAGTTCTTATGTACCTAATTGGTTGTCCTCCTCATCAAGTTACTCTTCTGGACTGAAACCTCTGTTTAGTTCTCAGAGCTCTTACAAATCCTCTATTTATATCTTTTGCCACCTGTTCCTTGTACCATCTTAATGTAAAGATGTATTTTCTTTTCCCTCTGTCTCTGATATTTTGATTTTGGATGCCTCCTGCACTTACCACCTAGATTGGTTGGTTTTATTCCCTGACTGCTCCATCCTCCCCAACAATTCAGCTCCCTTCAATCCTTCTCCATTCCCTTTCTTCTCTGTACGATCATTCAGCCCCTTATTGTTTCCTTTGTCCTGTTCAGGCAGCTCTCTGTTATCTTGCACTGCTTCTTCTTGAGGCAATCAGTACTATATATTTTGCCATGGGACTCCTTTTCTTGTAACTTATCTCCATTTTTCATGACTAGTTGGGCTAAACAACTCATTCATTTTGTCTATTCTTTAATGGGAGATGTCCTTTATGTCTTTTTCATATTGCCTCCCATCAAGTTTGTCATCTCATGTCTTCTCTTACCTCTGGCTGTTGATACTCCCTGGATGAAATATTGCAGGCAAAGATGTGAGTGACATTACTTACACCATAGTGTGTTTTATTTGCTTCTCGTCTCCCTCTAGTTGCCATTTTGCAATCTTATCATAGGCTCTAAAGAGGTACGTTGTTGATTTTTCTTGCACAGCAGCTTCTACAAAATATATATATATATATAATACTATAAGCAATAGCACCCACCACAGTACTTCCTCAGGCAAATGGGGGATAACTGAAAGTGTTAAGCCCATTATCCCTATTCATTTCCCACTGTTGAGAAGGGGCTTCTCACAAAACTACTTCAGCAGTTTTTTATATTTTACCTTCCAAGCTGTTTGCTACATTTGAACAAACAAAAAATTGATAGTACAGGGTGTGATTTCATGCCCTCACACCTACGCAGCTCCTGTTGTTCCTATTTGCAATAACCCATTGCACAGTTTCTCAGTATTAGACTCTATGCAGATGAGGGATTATTTTTCCTCCCAATTTCTTCTTATGTAATGGGAGAACCCTTGCTTCCCCAGTACGAAGCTACTAGAGAGGTTGATATGGAGAGTTTCTGTTTGGGTTGGTGTAATTCCACAGGTATGAAACAAAGTGGACATATTCCTTGATACAAATTAGGTAGGGATGTCTACCTGGAAGTAGACAACCCCTATACTAAGAACTGGACTATTCTCAGTGGTTGTGACCAGCCGGATAAGTCTTGTGATCTTCTAGAGATGCAGGTGTGGGAGGATTCATACCTGCTGCTGCTTTTTCTGGTAAGTATATCATCACATAATAAGTATACCTCTCATACATTATGGCTTGAAACATTGCTCTAAGCACACTACACATACAGAATCTACCACCCCACCCCCGAGCTATATATGCCATTTGAGTAATCTTCCAATTCCACCATCCTTTAAGACATTTGTTTTGGGTAAAGAGTATTCCCTGCTTGAAATGTTTGCAGTCTCCCACTGAGTAATGCTCTCACTAGGTTCTCCCTCCATAGTGAGTGACATAATCCATGAGTTTCTCCTTCTCTTGCTATATTTTCACAAAGAAATATGGATATCACCACTAGGTAGCTACATCCCATTCATTTTTCATACTGGAGGGGCAATATATGATTTGACTTGTGTATTTACAAGAAAATGAAGACAAAATTAACTAAAAATTAAAAGCAAAGATTTTAAAAGTTATTATTATTTTTTTTTTGGCAAGTGTTTTGTAGGTGTTTTTTTTTTGTATAATGTGTATAAGAGTGTTGCTATAGTGGAATGACATGCTGACTTATGATTTATTTACTGTTATATCTCTGATTTGTCTGACATTATGGACCCCCTCACTTCTGTACCCTTAGAAAGAAGCTCATCTTTTTAATTTCTTTTCTTCATCATTCCCTCCTCCATCTTTTCAGTGTGTGGTTCTAACTATTTGCTCTGTAGAGAAATGAGAAGCATTTCTGAATTTAAAATTTTTCTTATCTGAAAATGTATTTTAAATACATGTAAATATTCATCTCTCCATAGAGCCACTCATACTTCTTCCCCATTTCTGGTGTTCCTCTTCTGATTTGCCAACAATGATCAATTGGTATTACACAAAGTGTACAAGGGGAGTACTGCACATGGAGGATGTGTTGCCCTCCTATTTGGTAGAGAGTTATAGTCTAATGCTAATTGCATCATAGAATGATATAGTACATATCATTTGTGTAGGGGTGGAAATTTCATTCAAAGACTTGGAGCATGTCCAAAAACTTTTCAGCAGTGGTGCAAGGTTCTGTGGAGAGATGAGTATCCATCTGAAATACATTTTCAGGTAAGGAAAATGTTAACTTTTATAATAAGAATATAACCATAAGTTAAGATAGAGTCATCAGTAGTCAGTTGTTCTTGTCAGATAATTACATGAATATTATAAGGAGTCTCTTAAAAACACTGATTTTTTTAGGTTACGTGCTTGTTAATTTGTGCTTTGTAATGTTAAAATGGTCATTTATGCACAAACAAAAATGCTTATAATGCTGATTGCCTGAGAAGTACATTACTTAGGATGTCCAAACGGACTTTTTTGCTTTGGTACTTTCCCCAACTATTTTAATCATTGTTTACATAAGCAGTGGGGTTATCACTTGCAATAGAAGTATTAGTAGTAAACTTTTTAAATTTAAGAATTTAATTTTTACTCTTGACAGAGTCACAAGATTCAGAATAAAAGGGGATGGACACCAGTACATACTGCTGCATTTCATGGACGATACCCATGTTTACAGGCTCTCTACAAATGGGGTGCATTTTTGAATAGCCTTGACAAAGAAGGCAATACTGCAGGTGAATTTTATTTGTATTTTTTCTATTGTATCTATACCAACTACAGACTAATGATACATGGCTATAAAACATTTATTTAAAATGTTACCAAACTTATTTGGACAGTGAGCTGGAAATATCTCTGAAAAGTTTGTGCAATATTACAAAGATTCTTTCTAATTAGTAACTGATAACTTTCTGAAACAAGTACATTGTGTTTATAAAGATAATTGTATGGCCATGAGCACAAGTCTACTGAAGCGATTAAACAATTAAGAACTTATTTGATGATCCCCATTCTTCACTCTTCAGTACTTGATACTTACCAGTGTGATGTATTCTAAGCCTCTAAAACACTTAATACTGCAAGGGACCATTTCAAAACATACCACATAGCTCCAAATGAACAATACCTTTCTATGCCTTGTATCTATGACTTTATCAAATGTTCGTCTAATACTTATATGTACAAATTCAAATAAAATAATATAATTTTGTTAGAAACATGTCTGTTATCTATCCATTCGAACTCGCATTGTTTTTGTTAACCAGTTAATATGTAACAAGCAATGACTCAAACCTTTTTACAGTTAATTGGCTACTAGGCATCAATTCACTAGTAGACAAATTGCTCAATTACAAAAAATATGATATTTATGAAGTTAATGAGATTTAACTGCTACATTTGATTGGAGGTTGTAAAAATATAACTATTTTCTTATTGACAACAGATTGTTTTTACTGTTATCAAAATTTAATTGGTACTTGCATAAGTTTAGGTTACCTAGTTCTTTACCTAAAGAGGTAGTAGATTGGCACCTGATCAAATTGGCACACCTTGACTAACCATAGAAACAGTACAGAATGGCTTATAAAACAATGTTCAGATTTATTTCTTCAATTCCTTAAGATTATGATCTGACTACTGATCATTAAAAATGTGAAATTTTAAATACACATGTGTTACATATTCGTGTGATTTTTTTTTTTCATGTTATACAACATGGTGGTTTTATAGCTGATAATACATAATTTATTTTGGGAATTTACATCAATACATCTTACAATTCAAAATGTGGATCTTTGTGTTTTTTTCCCAAACTGGATGAATGTATATATATAATGTGTGTGTGTACATGCACATTTTTTTATCTCGCATGTCTGTATTGGTTTTTTAAACAACTTTTATCGAAGTTAAATCTCCTTTCAATTAATCCCTGGACAAAAAGTACTTAAAAATATATACAAAGGCTGTGATAAGTGATAGCACAGTCTAAGGCCGTTATTAAAATTCACATGTGAGTAACCATCATCAGTGTTGATTAACAGAGATCAGCAAATAGAGTAAAATATCCTAAACAAACATCAGCTACTAAAACTGATAAAAAAGAAAACTAACTTTGGTATTGTGTCTTATATTTATTTCTGTATACTTTCAGACCTCAGTTGAATGACATGATTAAATGTGATGCAGTATTCAGAGGTGTTACTACGTGCTTAATTCATTGGCTGCCACATAAGTATAAGTAAAATTAAACATTCAAGAGGTGTCAAGGAGCAATCACAATGTCCCAAACTCATATGCCACAAGAGAAATTTGGCTTTGAAACATAATTGTCTGTGACCCACTGGTGTGTCACGTGGTCCATAACTGAAAGTTGGTTGTGACCCACCAGTGAGGCACATGGCAGCCAGTGTGTTAAAAGATTTGGGGCTTGGGCCCATAGGTGTTGGAATTTTTAGCATTTTGGTATGATATTGATCATGGTTTTCTATTATGAATTTTCAATTTTCACCCAAAATGGTGATTTGGGGCACGGGTCTAGTATGCTAGTACCTAGTGACACCTCTGGTGATATTTGAGGAAAATGTAATTTAATGTTATCAATGTATATAGGTATATATTTATCAAATCAGTTGTGAAAATAATATATCAGTAAATTTATTTAAACTCATAACTTATGCTACTGATAATTTTTGTGGAATTTTGTACAAGTCTTGTAATGCATAACCTACATAATCTACAATAAGCCTGATGGTTATACTTGCCTTATTTTTCAAGCTTTTCTGTATTTCAAATATGCTTGAAATAAATATCCCTAATATCAGTTTGTCTGAAAAGAACAATAAACTAGTGCACAAGGAGGAAAAATGTTTTCACAGAAACATGTTATACAATAAAAATTGCTCTCTTTACTGTTACCACCAACCAAACAGATTATCTTTACATATAAGAGGCTAATGTCCATCTGTCCACAAAACTCCTCCCACAGTTTAAGTCCTATTCAGATGAAACTTCGCACGATTTGTCAACATCATAAGACGAAGTTCCTAACAAAGTTTCATTACAATCGGGTACAAAAGTTAGTTAGTGCATCTGTCCACTTTTTTAAGAAATAAGTCAGTAACAGTTTTATATGGCACCAAAATAAAAAATGTTGTAAAATAGACACTCACTAAAGTTAAAAAAATAATAGGACTTTATTTTATAACATTTTCTACTTAATGGAGGATTGGTACTTCTTTCCTTTTTAATAATATACATTAATTTTGTACATTTATTATTATCAACTAAATTATATTTTTTAATAACATTTTTAAAATTGTGATAAAATGAGTTTCATGTAGAATTTAAAAGTGAGTCTTCCTAGTAGAGAATCATTGTGATATTCCAGAAGAAAAGTGACTTTTTCTGTTGGAGAATCCAAGCATACCTTTTTATGGAGTTTGTTGCAAACAAATTTGCAGGAATTTTGTAGTAGCTTAATCTTTGTAAGTTACACAAGTATTTTTTTTTGCGTCAATATCAGTATAAAGTGATTAAAAACATCAAAATTATAATGCCAAAAATTGACAAATGGAAAAGTGATTTATCACGAAGGAAATCTGAAACTTTTAGAAAGAAAATGAAACTTCAGGATGCAAATTACAGAAATAAGTTATGAAGTGAGACGAAGCCAAGAAGAAACCCGAAATACAGAAGCCAATCAGATTATTCGCCAAGATGCAGTTAGAAGAAGTCTGGAGCAATTTCATGACAGAGAAGCACACCATTCAGCTCGCAAAGATCCTGACTGAACAGCCACCCTAAGGGCGGCATTTCTGCTAGTTTATTATGTTCTTTAAGACATTTTCAGAAAACTTTTCATCAAAAATTAGCAGCTCACTCATTTTAATTTGTTTGTGACTTGTATAATTATTTCAGTGAGAAGAACTTTAGTGTTATTGTTGGACTTCACTGTGCATGTAAAGTTGATAAACTCAGATTTGTAGCATTCCAATGGTAAGTTTCTGGGTGTATATACTGCACCTCTACTTAGTTATTATGAGGAAAGGTTAGCAATTGGTCAGAAATATTATTAATGTATTGTGTCCATGCTTTATTACAATCTATTGCTATAGGTCAGATCTTCACCATAATGTGTGAACTATAAAAAATATTGTACCTAATAATCATATGTAAAATCTGAATTTATCTTTGTGTTAAACTTTCAATGGTTTTAACTCCAAACATGTTCTTCAGATAAAGAATAGATTATTCACTATCTTAATGAACTTACATCTTAATGAATGTAAATAAAATAAAATGTGTAAACAATGCTGTTTGGAATGTATATATTTTAGTGTAGTTTTTGTGCTACTGGAGAATCTGATCAAGTAATTTTCGTAAATACATTTGCTACATCATTTCATGAAATGTTTTTACAGTTCATCTGGCAGCCATGGAAGGTCACGTGGAATGCTTTCGCTTTCTCGTCAAGAACCTGCTAAAGACTGATATGCAACAACATCCATTAAAGGCTAGAAATATCATAGGACTGACAGCACAGATGTTGGCAGAAAAGTTTGACAGAAGAAATGTTGTTGAATGTGCAATAGAAATGGAATCAAATGAGGAAGAAACACCTCGTGAAGTTCATGGTACATAAATGAATCAGAGCTGTTTCATGAATCTGTATCATAATTTTTGCTCAACAAATTTTTTTTACATTTAGTCTAGTTCCCAATCTATGTGACATATATCTAGTCTTCAAGTAGTTTTAGGTACAGATAATATGCAGTACAAAAGTGAATTGGATGAAGAAGATTATTTTATTTGTTCAGAGTATTTGAGATTTCTGTAGGTTATTTCTTTTTACAAATGTACTAATGAAAAAACCTTGAGTAAACCTGCTGATCACAGACATGCAGTATATTGTTATTTTTGTGTGTTTTTTATACACTCGGAACAACTGTTCTTATTTATCTATGCAATATAGTATATTTCCTTAAATGATCACTGCTTTAAAAAAATATGGATGGTGGTGAACATGAATAGGTTGTAATTCTTATATTAGTTGAACATACACTGCATAATTCTGTTTTTCATTCCTAAGCATTTTTTCAGTATGGAAGAAACATTTTAAGAATATTTATATACATTTAATTGAAAAAACTGTACAACTCTTTCATACAAGTGCATATAAAATTATTTATATCATATGTTAGAAGGAAAAAAATATTAAAAGTATTTTTTATGTTAATGATATCAGAAGTGTGAAAATGTTTAAATGATTTGTGTTTGGAGTAGAGTTTACTCATAATAAATCTGTTTGTACAGATCCACCATACCCAGCTCATGATGCAGCATACCATGGTGACCTTCCAAGATTAAAGTTGTTAATTGAACAAGGCATTTGTGAGGTTGACGAAAGGGACAAGTGGGGTTCAACTCCTGCACATAAAGGTAGGATAAAGATACTTATATTTATATGTTTTGGTTTATCCTTCTAATAAAGTTCATCACAATATCATTCTGTGGTAATCTATGGAACAGAAGTATAAAGAACCCGACCATTTTTATCTGTGATTATTAAAACGGACTATGTTTTAACAAAGTGAGGAATGTTTATATACTTGATTACCATTACTTTACTTTTCTACGTGGGTAGAGTGAAATGAATTTGGATGAAGCTAGAGAACATCGTGTAAATAACTCTTGTTTGGGTGATATACGTCATACTTATTTTACATATACATATGATAAAATATTAGGTTTTATTGACTTTTACTTTTTCAGGATTTCTTTTACATTAATAACAAACACCGTGAATAAGAAGTGTTAAAAATTCTTATTTGTTATATGTAGGTAAAATTTCACGGTATATATTTAAAAGTGTGCATAGCATTATGCTTGAATACATTCATTCTGAACTTAAAACGTTTTTTCTGCATTTTAGTTAAATTCCAATAAAATATTTTATACAGCTAGGACAAATACTGATGATCACGATTTAGATTGAACTTTTTGCCATTAAATGCTATGTACACACTTTAGAGTGAGTTTTATCACCAAGTTAATTAATGAATAGTATTAAACAGGGTAGTGTTTCATTATGGAGGTTTGTTAAATTACTTATAGGTACTTTTATGAAATACCTCTGAGGTTTCAGTTTAACCATAGCATACGTTTTTATTGTAGCATACAGTTACTGAAATTATGATAGCTACTCAGTGTTTGAACATTACATAAATGATACAGCTATTTTGAATTCTATATCAAAATCTTTTATTAAACTGTACTTCATTAAAACAAGATTATGAGAATAAGTGTGAAGCTATACATAATGTCTTTTTTTTTATCATTGTATTTTACAGCTGCTGGGCAAGGGCACGAAGATTGTTTACGTTGGTTGGTAGAAAAAGGGGCTGACCTCAGAGCAGTTAACAACACAGGAGACACATCACAAGACATAGCTGTAAGATTTGCTCAGTGGAGGTGTGCAAGACTTCTTGGTGTACCCATAGGTATGTTTATTGTACATTTAACATATCCATGCAGTATGTTTTCTAATAACTGTAAGAGTCATGTTAAATCGAAGTACGACTTAATTCAGATACATGTGTATGCTGTGATTTTGTTTCTAATAGCATGGAGGGTAATAAAATTATAATTTTTAACATGTGAAAATTTCTATTTTTTTTTATTAGGATCATTAAATGTTAATAAGATTTTTTTTTGCATTCAGTGCATAAAACCAGGAAAATCATAGTGATTTGTAGATGACTTATGGTGTTTTAAATTTGATAGTTTATTTTGTTTCAGTCATGCATTTTCAAAGTTACTGATAGTTTATTTTCTGTCATTTAGCTAGGGTTTGAAAAATAACCATTGAAAGATGAATAAATATGTCTATAAATCTTATTTGGATAAAGTATTCTTATCAAGCTTCTTCAATGGTCCATTTATTAAAAATAAAATCATTAGAATACAGATTGGATGCCTTTTTCATTATACTTTTAGGCCATTTGAATAAAACTGGCAAGTGTTAGTCTGACAGTTTAACAATCTATTAATTTTAACAAAAAAAAACGGTTTTAACCAAGTCGTAAATTTTTTCAACATAAAAATAAATAAATAAATATATATATATATAATGTTGTAACTCAAAGTGACTCAGTAATCTTGGAAACTGACACTTGAAAAACCATTGATCTTAATTGTGGATATCAAGCATATATATATTTCATAGAAATATAATTTTGGTAACATTGTAAATAAATTTATGAATTTTATTTTGTCTTTCATATTTGTTTTGAAGTGACATATATTTATGTTTACTGTTTTAAACATTACATGGTACATTCGTTTAATCAAAAATTTTGAATCGACTTTGTATTGCATACAAAGAATTTGGTAGCTCACAAAATAGTGTTAATTTCACTTTCTAAAAGCAGAAAATAAATGCATAAAATATTTTATGACTACTTTATTCACTGGGATGAATTCTTAAGTATTACAAAAATTATACTGATCATTTTCTTATTCAGATAATTTTTCAAACTATGGAAAAAACATAAAGGTTTTTCACAACCCTTGAAAAGACATCTGTATAGAGTTGAGTACATTATAGTCGAACAATTTTTGATGGTCACCATGTCATTACAGTCCATGTTGTCACATCCACTCATGCTTTAGCTGATGGCTGTGCATCTTGACAATAGCTTTGCAGTATAGTTTCCATTGCAAAAATGCTCCATCATAAGGCTATCATATCCAAAAGCAGACCATACTGTCACACTGTTTTCCATAATCCATCTGTTGTATGAAAATAATGGTTTCTTAGTTTCTGTTTTGGTAGTTCAATCGCACAAAAATCCATAGATTCTGTTGGTGAGCTAGCTTATAATCTTTTTTTTTATTAAATTGCATACTTTTGCCTGGAACACGTGGATGGCTTTTGCCACTGATCCTCACCGATTACAAAATTGTGCATTTTGCTTACTGTGGCTTATGGGATACAGCTTGTTTTAGGTCTGCTTCTACGTATTCCTGATGCCTTGAGTTGATCCATATTCCTTTGTTTTCCAATGCCATTAATTATTGGGGGTACTCCCACCTTAGAAGTTTTAAATTCCCAATCTGAACACATATTTATCACCTGAGTGTATGAATATTTTGCATTTGAAACGGCTGTTATATACCTTCCCAAAAGTGATCAAGGAATTTAAAGTGTAGTTCTGAGACATTCTGTTTTACTGTGACTGTTAGCTGAGGTTATCACGTGAATTGCTGATTTGCTTACTCAAAATTGTTACAATGTACTCAACTTCTGATGGCTACCACTGATGTTTCTGAAGTAGGTTTTTTTTTCTAGTGTATTTTTCTATCAAGACAGTGCTTTTACATATTAAGTGATATTAAAGTATTTAACTGAATTATTATTTTTCACAAGAGGAGTTATGGCAATAATTCTTACAGTAAAAAAGTTCACCATGTAGGTACTCAAAAATTTACTAAAAAAGTATTGCTTCACATAATCCACAATGTCCAATTATACTAATATAGTTTTTGTGTTTCAGATTCAGATGAAGATGTTATATTGTCTGATGAAGACGAACCAGAACAATCTTGTATAAACAAGGAAAATATATTACAAGCCAGAGGTATATTAAAACATCTTATTAAATTGAAGTCACATAGTCACATTTATTTTAGTGTTTTATATTGTACTTAATATTAAAATATCTTATTCAATTGAAGTCATATAGTCACATTTATTTTAGTGTTTTATATTGTACTTATTATTAAAATATCTTATTCAATTGAAGTCATATAGTCACATTTATTTTAGTGTTTTATATTGTACTTATTATTATAAGATCCGTTTACGGAAAAACTTATTTATTAAAAATAGGTAAGATTTGACTGGCAACCACTAGATTTTACCAATTTATGTCGACCTTGAGATAAGCTATGTTCAGTATAGTTAACAGTCATCAACTTTATGACAGTTTCCTTCAAGAGCACATATGGTATGTCAAGAGAAAAATAACAACACTTTTTTTTTATTTGAAGCCTATGGAAATAAATAAATTAGTAGATATAAAATTAGGGACCTTGTGAACAGGTAAACACAAAATTTACCAAACTGAAAATAAAATGCAGCTTGAGCATCACATTAAGCAGGACATAATTTGTTGAAAAGTTTTTTATGGACAACTTTGAAAAAAGGGAATGTCAATTCATTCACTCACATGAATCTTTATCAGGTCTGTGCTTTTGTCAGATATACTGTTTTATTGAATAATAGATATTGAAAACTACTTTACGTAAGTGTTGATCATGAATCTTAGAATTAATCACTAATTGTTAATTTCTGACATTAAATCTCCTTTAAGGGCTGTCCTTTTTGTCTAATGGAGGTGTTTCTTTAAAATTTCCAGTTAATACTAGTTATTCTATCTAAATAGGGTAATTGGAGAATCTTTCATTCAGAGAGAAATATATATATATTGTTTTATATTTACCAAAATTTGACAATATAAAGTTCATGATATCAAAGCTAATAGCAATGAAGTTAAATCGATTTGGGTTTCTGTTAGTGGTTATAAGGGTAGAAGGCTTTTAGTTGGAATCTGTTACAGATCCCCAAGTAAAACTGATGAAATTAATGAGAAACTCGACAATGAGGAAAATGATTCAGCTGTTAATAAAGTTATAATTATGGAATATTTTAATTTCAGGCACATAAATTGGGAAATGTTAAAGTCAAATCATGAGGGATACAGGTTTATAGGTATTGTGCATGTTGTTTTTCTTCACCAATTGGTTAGGTAATTTACTAAGAAAAATGGTATTTTAGGTTTATTGTTAACTTAATTCTAATATAGAAATGGTTGCTAGAGTGGAAACTGTGGAACATCTAGATGAAAGTGATTATTACTCAATTAGATTTGATGTTTTGCTGCATATGGAGATAAGGAATAATGAGGTTTTGGTTCCAAATTTAAAAAAAAACAAATTTTAAAGAAAAGTCTAATTGAAATGATGGGAGATTTGGAGGATTATAGAAGATCAAGAGAGTTTATCAAATAGGAAACCAAAAAAGTATAAGAGACAAGGTTGGCTGAAAATGTAAAAAAAGTAATAGTAAGGTGTGCATGTTTTATAGCAAAGCCACATCGGGTTATCTGCTGTGTCCACTGAGGGGAATCGAACCCCTGATTTTAGCACTGTAAATCCATAGACTTACTGCTTTCCCACCAGGGGACTAATAGTAAGGATTTTTTGAAATACATTAAAGGTAAGCAAAATCTTAGGATGGGAGTAGGTAGTGCCTTTGAAAGATGATACAGGAAGGCTAATATCTGATGATTGTGGAATGACTGGGTTATTCTACCTTTTCTTCAGTTTTTACTAATGAAGATTTAAGCAATATTCTTCATCCTGAACAGGTACTAGATGAAAATAAGATTGAGCAAGATAATCACATTAATTTTAAGCTTGTTAAGAGAAAATTGGGAAGTTTAATGAATAATAAAGCTCCTTGGACAAATAATGCTAACCTAAGGGTTTTGAAAGAAATTAAGGATTGAATATGTGAGCTACTTGCTACTATTTTTATCTAAGTCTTTGAAGAGTGGGCATATGCCAGGAGATTGGAAGTTGGTTATTGTTACTCCACTTTTCAAAGGAGGTGATAAGAATTTCCCCAGTAATTATAGGTCTATTAGGCTTACATCAGTGGTAGACAAAGTTTTTGAAAGTCTGATAAAAGATGCTTTGCAAAATATTTAACAAAGTTTAAAATTTTGTTGGATGCTCAGCATGGTTTCACGAGGAGAAAATATTGTTTTACTAATCTTTTGACATTCTTTAAAAACGTTACTGCTTATGTAGATGAGGGTAAGGGTGTAGATTTGGTGTATCTGGATTTTCAGAAAGCATTTGACAAAGTGCTACATAAAAGGCTTATTAAAAAGTTATCTCTTTAAGTGAGGGGGAATAGGCAGGCTCATTTGATAGATAACTGGCTAGATGGAAGAAAGCAGAAGGTTGTTGTAAATGGGGTTTACTCAACCTGGATTAATATCATGAGTAGGGTACCTCAGGGTTCAGTGTTAAGAACAATGCTCTTTTTAATTTACATTAATGACATATATAAAGGAATGGTCAATAGATTATTGAAATTTTGCTGATGACATTAAAGTTTTGAGTGTTGCTGGTTATGAGGAGGATATTAATGCTTTATTAAAGGATTTGGATTGTTTGATGAGTTGGGCAAATAAATGGCAGATGACTTTTAATTATCGTAAATTCAAGATAATGCATGCAGGATATCACAGTTTGAATTATGAATATAATTTTGAAGGAATAACCTTATCAGTGTTATGCAAGAAATAGATCTTGGTATTCTGGTTCATCAGTCTCTTGAACCCTCCAAGCAATATGCTGTTGCTAGTTGGAAGGCAAATAGGATTTTTGGTTGTTTCTACAGAAATATTGAATACAAGTCTAAAGAGGTTATAATATCATTGTATAGGTTATTGGTTAGGCCACATTTGGAGTATTTAGAAAGAATATTTAATTGTTGGAAAGGGTTCAGAGGAGAGCTACTAGAATGATACCTGGGATGCAAAGGTTGTCATACAAGGATAGGTAAAGATTGCTGAACTTGATTTCTCTTAAAAAAAGAAGAGTTCGAGGGAATATGTTTGAGGTGTTTAAGATTGTTTAGGAAATTGATGGTGTTGATGCATCATCTTTTTTTGCATTTAATGGTTAAAAATGGTAAGACAAGGGAACACAGATATAAGTTTTCACAGGGTAGGACTGATCTTCAGTTAAGACAGCTTTATTTTCAAACAGGGTGGATGGCCTTTGGAATGGGTTACCTTCAGATGTGGTAAATACAGGTTAATTTAACAGAGTTAAGGGAAATCTTAATAAATATTGTAATGATAAGGGCAAGCTTGTTTTTTTTTAAGGTTTAGTTTAATTTAGTGAATAGAATGGCCTAGATGGACCTAAAGGTCCCTTGTTATCTTTTAAAACTGTTTCTATAATATTTAAATGATTCAGATTGGTTTGAAACATGATAACATTAGTTGCTGTTTTTTGCTTTTATAAAGGAAAGACTACATTTTATATACATAAAAGAGTATAATAAGGTTGTGTTTATCCTAGTTTCAGAGTTTGTTAGTATTGCAAATGATTGAAATAAGTATGAAATAAATAATGTAAACATCATATTGTGGTAATTCAATGGCATCTTTTTATTTTATAAATACTGTTATTTTTAAGTAATTGCTCAAAATAATGCAGTTACAGTGTTTGATTTGAAAACATATAACACTTAGAATGTCATATAGCTTGTAAAGTATTTTACCTGTGAAAGAAAACTTCATTGACAAATTCTTTAACAGTGGCATAAAGTAGATAATTTTACTTTGAGGACATGTTTTAACTTATTAAAAGTTGAAAAACTCAATTTTAAAGAGTCAAATACTTATCAAGATTTTCCTTAACTCTGTTAAAGTAACAGCATCTACCACCGCTGAAGGTAACCCATTCCAAAGGCCAGTCATCCTGCAAGAAAAATAAAACTGTCTTAACTGAAGATGACTCCTATCCTGTTAAGATATATAATGGTGTTCCTGTCACTGTTCTGATTTTTGTGAACTATTGTAAAATCATAATTTTTTTTTCTAAATACAGAATATAAGCTTTACTAAACTATTTAAAGATGTTGTACATATCATGTGTAAAACATATAAACTGTTATTAATAGTTAAAGCTTATGCTTTTAAAAGCAAAACACTTATGGCACTTATGCTTTAATTACCACATTATTTTTTTCACAAAACTAACAAAAATTTTATTGTAGCATATTGCACCTTGTTAAAATGCCATACATCCCATAAGTCCTTAAACTAGTTTCATTATTAATTATAATTCTTATTATTAAGATTCTTTGTTTCAGAAGTAGCATTCACCCGAGTTCAGGAAATACAAAGACAGCTTGAAATTGCCATAAAAAATCTTCAAGATTTAGGAGGAGAAGCTCCAGAAGATAAAGAAAATCATAAAAAAGAACAAGTTAAACAGTAAGTTATTTTATGTGAAAAACAAATTATAGCTAACATAACACATATTACATTTACAGTATTAGTTTTTGGAACAACAGTTTGAACTTCGAAAAGACTATATGTTATTGAACATTTACATTTTCTAATTATTGAATATATGAAATAAAAATAAAATTCTAGCTAGTTTAGGTGTTGAAATAGTCTCAGCTTCATAAATAAATCAACATAAGTATTGTGGAACAATTCTTTCACTTGAAATTTGTTAGAAAATGCTTGAAAACATTAGAACCAAAGATTACTAGATGTAAGAAATTTTATATAAAGTACTTATTTAAATCAAATGCACAGTGACAGTAAACTATTTTAGCAAAGGTTTTACAATTTCACTAGCAAACTGCTGTCAGTGTGGAAGAGAAAATTTCTGTACAAAAAATTCCAAATTCTACTTGATATTTTACAAAATCAAAGAAACTAACTAAAATTATCCTAATCTTATATTTGCAAGTATATAAAAAGGATTGAGAAAATTGAAGATACCAAAAGTTAAAAGCTTATCTTTGGGAATTTTAAAACACTCTTATATGTAGTTCATCAAGCTTAAAATAATTATAACTGTGTTAAACATTGCAAAACTATAACACTGTTTATTCAAAAGAAGAATCACATACGATATTTGATTATCACACATAAAAGGTGTTTGTGAACAACTTATAAGAATATTAAGTTCTACTGATATATTTCATTAAAACCTCTAAAAAATTTAGTGATTTAAACCAAAGATAGAATCCTATGGTAGAATCAAATTGATGATGTTGTTTATGCTGTTCTCTTTTATAATTGTGAAGGCTTTCTTGTTCATGAAACAAAAAACTTTAGGGCTAAGAATTTCAGAACATAAACAAGTTGTATATGCAAACATTTATGTTTCAGTTACTAATTAATTATTCAGTTGACTGGGAAGAGTTCAAGATTGTTGAATGAAATCTACAGTTTCTTTATTAAATATTCCTCTAGAAAGTTGACATATTTCTAAAACTGTACATAAAACCACCTCCAATTGTTGTTCTTGGCATATTTTTTTTAATTTCTTTATAATTAAAGAATTACCTTATTTTCTGCATTTTGGACATTTACATGTTATATCACTGAATATATTTGAGAAAAGTGACCAGTGGCTACTAAAATGTAAGGGTTTAAAAAAAAGCTTTTTTTATATACCTGGTGTTTATGTGAATGAACTTCTTTTCTCAGCCACAAATTCTCTGTTTAGTTTGATATACAACTTTAAATATCAATCAATTAAAAAGTAACATTATAATGGATGAATTTTATGTGGATTTATGAATTTATAAGTGTGATAGAAAACAATGAATGACTAATGTGAAATATCTGTTGTGATGTATTTTCTCTGTAAAAAGTAATTTGAATGTAAAAATAATAGTAGGCATTCACCATCTTTCCATTTTATTGCATTTATATTTTGTATTATCTATATGTATTTATACAGGGTGATTAACTGATTATAAAGATTTAAAAATTATTATATACTAAGAATTACTTGATCTTGGGAAACAAAATTTTATCAGAAACACATTGAAATCATAAGTTTATTCAGGAAGCTTTGAACATAGTAGAGGGTTCTTCAAAACTATATTACCCTGAATAACTGAATCACTGCTTGCAAATTAGCCTATAAGAACATCACAGTCCAACAAGACAGAATAAAACCTCGCATCATTCACCATATTAAAAGACTCCTAACAGACACTTTAAGACAGAATCATGAGGCATTTATTCAGGTAGAAATGGCCAACAAATTTTCCAAAAATTGGATTACTGGGTTTGTGACTGTAAGGCTTCCTCAAAGGATATGTCTGTTAGAATAATCCAGGAAATTTTGAGGATCTGAAAATGGCTATTATACATAGAAATGACAATATGAGGATGAATTAATACAGGTGATGATTTCAGTAGTTTCATTAAAAATGAAGGAAATCATATGTAACAAATCAATTTTGTAACAGTTTTTCAAATGTCCTGTGCCATATAATCAAAATTTCCTTGATAAAACTTATGAATCTTAGTGTCCTTTTGGTGAAATTTATTTCCTTTGAGACAATCATTTCTAAGGTGTCACCTGATATTGGTAATTTATCTAGAAATTTTATTATGCCATACAAGTATTGTAGCAGAGAAAAAACAAAAAACTTGGATATGAAAATTCAAGTATGTTTTTCCTAACATATCTATGTATAGAAGTCGAAAAATATGAAGGTGATAAAGTAAAGAAATTAGACTTTTAGAGAAAAATCACCTATAAATTATGATGGTAGTAATTTATTTACTTGATGATGTTTTGAGCAAACACTCTTTTTCAAGCCAGAAACAAGCCTGTAACAAGAAAATAATTACTACCATTGTGGTTTATAGGCGAGTTTTCTCTAAAAGTCTAATTTTTTATGTACATGTATTTCTTTGTTGTTGTTTTTTCTTGCTAGAATACCTGCATGGCATGAAAACATTTCTAGATAAACTAGAAACCTCTCTTCTGTAGAAAGACACTTTTTTTGTAATATGGTATTGTAAATTAAGACTTTCAAAAATAAATTGTGGTTCTGGATGTCATATATCTTAACTGATCACACTAATTTTACCAGCCCTAAATAAATTTGTATAGACAATTGAGTAACTATTAATTTTTACCCAAGTTTTTTATGAAGATAAAAAGCTTTTAACGTAGTGAAAATAGTTTAACTTATAAATGTGAAAGGAATCATTAAAATATTTGTGCATTCGTTTTTTTTTAACTACAGCATTTTATAGTTTGAAGTAATTTTGAAAACAAGTAAGTAGTACAGATTTTTAGATTAGGACTTAAAAAAGTTTCTTAAACCTTTTAAATGTTTCAATTATATTTGTTTTTCTATCATAACTTTATAGAAATTTCTATTTTTTTTATCTAAACTGTTTAGAAAATGTGCAGAATTAGAAAATTTGTTAGGACAAGAAAGATTTCGAAGAGAAGAACTCGAATCAGAGGTTGATCAACTTAAACAGAACCTTAGTAAATCTCAGCTGAAACTTGAAAAAGCATCAAAATATTTGGCATGGAGAAACATGGTTAGTATCAAAGCCAAATGGTAATTCCTAATTTTGGTCTTGTGTATAACTATTGTCAGGTTTTATGTATGGGTTGGATTCTTTACAGTAGGTGTCTGTGACTTGTTGATGATAAATTTCAACAATAAACAGATAGCACACAGTCCATTTGTTTTAAAATAATATATTAAAACAAGTCAAACATATATACAAATGTTTCTTACACTGTTGGTTATCATAGTTGTATCCAGAGATTTAAATAATTGTTTCTTTTTTTGTCAAAGCCCACACAAGCTGTTTCGCTTACTTTGGAACACAATTAACAAGACAAATTATTATTCTCTACTCTATTATTACAATACAACCTGTGATAGTTTCACTTTAAAAATCACTACTATAAGCTCTTTATTGCTAAACTCATAATCACGCAGTCTAGATCTATCTTTCGAAAAAACATTTACAATGCATATTTATGCCCTGACAGAGAACTAGAACATTCCACACGCTACTAGATATTATTATGCAATAATACTCAATTAAAAAATGAGAAAAACTCAGAAGATTCTAGTAACATGATGCAATAATATAACAATCACCAATTTATAACTTTAGAACAACACAACATATGATTCATAAATAGTTATGTAACAAACTTGCAATGAACTATTGCTTCTAAAAATAACTAAATCTAACACTTGCACTATAAATTTACCTAAATCATAACACTCGCATTACATTTAAACTGAAACAGTTGTGTATATCCAACAACTATATTGTTTTATACAAAACACAATGATGCTACTCTTAATGAATTTAAGCTTGTATACATCAACAACTAATAAATATTAAGATTGAATTATGATATTAAAATGTATCAGATTCTTTTAATTTCTTTGTTAATATAGCTGTATAGTTGTCATTTATTTTGTTCTACTGTATTTGAAATTTTAACCATTTACTATTGAAGACAAACTTTTAAGAATAGGTAAAGGGTAATCAAAATGTTTATTAAAGAAGCATATAAAATCAACCTTAGAATTAAATATATTTCACAATAGTAAAAAAATGTTAACATTTGAAAACATTCAAAAATGCTAAAAACACTCAGTTAAGAGAAAGTTGTTATTTGAAAAGTTTCTTGCATGTCACAAACCTTATTGTGACATTGACTTCTTACCAGTAATTTCACTTTTAATATATAAACTGTGGAGTAAAATTTTAAGTTTTTTATTAGTTTATTTGCTGTACTAACTGCCCACAGTAACTACAGAGTAATTGGAATTTTTATTACTTTAGCTATGAAAAAGCACAACCACTATTATAAGTTGATGTGAATCATCCCATCATTCAGTTTTTATCCAAATCAGACATTCCTAATTTTTTATAAGATTTGAAATGCAAATGATTGGTCTTTCAGTCTATTTTTGTAAATGAACATTTGGTAAAGGTGTCTTTTTATATAAAGTTCATGATATTTCACTTCAGTATGGAGTATGGTCAGTATAGACAACCTGGCAAATATAATACTTAAAATCAGAATGTTGAGATAAAAATCTGATAAATACTAGCCATTTTTCAATCTTCTCTTCTTCGTGAAATATGTTAGCTAGTTTAGTACAAAGTAGAATGGGTGTTAACATATACTAGGTTGAAATCATAGTGAATTGCACCAGCATGTATGATATTAATGGTACCATTCAACAGAATCCAGGAGTTGATATTTTATCAATGCTTATCCTTGCCCATACTGTATTCTACCACCAACATTGGTGTTATATTAATTCATTTATAAAAAAATTGGTTCTATATTCTTATACAAATAAATACCTGTCTCCAAGATGAAGTATGACTCACCTAAAAAAAAGAATATTACTCCACATGTTTATTTACTGAGTGAATTTTTGGTACCATTGTAGGTGAGTTGTTTTATACTGCGAGTGGATTGTATCTCATTTAATGTGTGGCATACAGTTTAGCTTTGTTACTAACCTTCTTTACACTGAAATATCATCTAGATGTAGCTGTGAACATCTAATTCAGTCTCAGAGCAGGTATTTTATGATTGGGATGAGCCAGAATTGAGATCTAGCTATTATGTGCCTGTATTGTAGAAGATAGTCTGCTTTGTATAGGTATCCAAATAAATGACAGGACATTTTTAAACAGTTGTATCCAACTTGCTGTGATCTGGCCAACTTTTACATGTCTAAGTAATGGCTCTTCAGACAAATCAAATATCCAAATATTTTATTTGGGGTCGACCCATAACTTATAAACAAGGTGAAGCACTTTCAAGTTATGCAAGTCACTTCAAAGTGATATTTGAAAGACTATGTGAGACCAGTTTTTATACAACACAGAGAGCAAGACTAATCATTTGTATTTATATTATATAATTGACCAGTAGATAATTGACTTTCACAATAATGAACTGAATGGGTGACATTACTTTATAACAACTTCTGATTATTCTTTAATTTTTTTGTAAATTTAACATGGTTATTAAACTATTATCAGTATACTCATGCTCAGTTTTGTTAAATGTGTTTCTAGGATATGGAACCACAGTTACATAATGGGCATTCTTTAACGTACTTTGCCCAAAGTCTCAATAGTCTTCACCTTGGTGATAGTGGTATTACACTGTATACAAGATCTAGGCATCCTAATCACTTGGAGAAAAGACACCCTAGACGTTCAAAAAAAAAGTAATTGTGGTTTTGTGACATTTTTTATATATTATATTAATTTAAGTAAAAATGGTAAATGTATTTATGTACTTGAGAGGATGTAAATTTTGTTTCATTGTATGTTATTTCTTGCTAATTTGCATTTATAGTAACACCATCTTTACCATTTACAAATATGCACATTTCCTTGAAACAAACAAAAATAAAATATGTACATACTGATAAAGTATTAAAAGTGTTTGATTTATGAATTTTTTTATGGTTTGAATTTTATGGTGTAATGGCATTGTATTATATAAATCAAATATGAAAATTTTAATAATTTTGTTCATCTTTTGTTTTTGAAAATTAGGTAAGTTATAATTTTTCAGATTTGATAAAAACAAATTGCTAGTATATTTTACATTTACTTGGGATCCATGTAGTCATAATATAATATCAGTATATGCAAGACAGAATATTTGTAACAATCAACTGACATTACTATTTCTATAATAACTGAGAATATGTATCTGATTGACGTAACTTAACATTTCATCCCATAGTATTGAGTCACATCAGTTAAAAGTTATATATTGTAACTTTTACCTGATGATGACTCAGTTACTATGGGTTGAAATGTTGTAATTATTAAAATAAGAATTTGCATACTGTAAAAGTTGCTGTTATTGTATATTTGAATAAAAGTTCAAGATTGTCAGTATTACACTTGGTTGCAGTCTGACAGTTTGCTCAGATTCAAATTATGTCTCTGCAAAGTGATCAGAGCTTACTACTGCTGTTTGATGGCCTGAATTTCACCCTCCTCTTCATAGCCACCCATAGCTGTGGTCATTCAATGTTCTTGAGAAAACTAAAAAAAGAAAGAGTGCATTATTGAATTTAATTGATTATTTGTATATCAAGCAAACTATAGATTCTTACATGATACAAATGTACATATTGTATATGAATATATCATCTTCATGTAAAAATGACACAGACATACATTTTATTTTCCAAGTACCTATTAACATCAGTGATAAAATAAGTACAATCATAAATAAGCATAAGCCAAAACAATTTCACCATTTACCTTACTTGAAAATAAACGTTTCTAGTACTTTGTAATGAAAATAAACCCATAAAAATTAATGGTAAAAGTGAAATTACCAGGGGCAGAGGCTAATTAAATTGTAAATAAGTTCCGTGAAATAACATAAAACAACAAACTTTATTTTACATTAACACAGTACAATATCACTGCAAGTGCATGGTAATTTACCATAAAGGCCTATATAAGTAACCTTCTGGGAAGATAGTGAGGGTCTTAGTTAATATAATTACTTGTAATTACCAATGAAATTCTATTATATTATTATTTAAATTTATTATGTAAGCAGTGATTATGCTTAGTAAAGTGGATACATGTATCTCACATTATATATATACAGTTGATCCCACATCAGCTTTCGTGGGGTTTTGTTTGTCACAGGTGTGTTACATATTGTACCCATTCTCCATACATTAAAGTCAATAAAATTTATTTAACTGATATGTAATGAACCTAAAATAAATACTTACAAGTGGAAGGTTGTGCCACATCTTTTGATAAATATATTGTTGAAAAGGACAAACAGCAAAGCATCTTGGTCAAATTACTACAGTCTATTAATAATATATAAACATAATACTTTAGTGGACTGAGCTTTGTATGGGTGTTAGAAGATGGCTGTGTGCAATTTTTTGATAATTTCAACCCCTATTATACCTTGATAGTGGTGTGTACTACCCATGCATACATATCAGTGTCCAGAACAAGCGACTGTCCTACAAACTCAGTTTCTCAGAGAATCACCACCACTTCATAATAAATATCTTATTGAACCTCTTTTTACTAAGCAAATTCCATTTCTCTGATTTAAGGTTAAGTTAGTTTTACTTGAATATATCACACTAATAGTCCTCAGTGGTTAATAGTAAGGATGAAACTGGCAAAACTAGGAAATTTTTCTCAAACGTATAATGCATTTGTTTAATTTTGTGTCGAAATTAGTAAATTCATTGCAACACGATGTAATTTATTGTTACTTAATTTTTTGTTAATTCAAGATTATTGTAAATTTGAACTTGATATTAATCAGGGACCCACGTAAACTCAAAATGGTAAAATACTGTTAAAACTGGAGAAATATCAGCTGACTTGAGCTAATCCTCTATTATGAAGGATACATTACTACTATCTTTCGCCTTTGACTACTTTCCTAATCTTGAGTTTTCACGAGATACAAGATTACTCCAATTTTTTGGTGTCTTTCATATAGAACATTCTGATGTTGAAATTTGCTAACGTAACGAACTTCGTTGGGAAACAGTTTTTCTTCACCGCCTTAAGAATATTTGTGTAAACATTTTTCTAGTTTTTAATAACACAATAATTGCAGGTTAGGCTGCTTCGATTTTTAACGTTCTTTTTATATTGTGTGAAAAGAAAACCGATATTTTGTCTTTAAACTACACGTGATACAAGGTTATTTTTAAAACTATGTTATATATATGAAGATAATGCTTACAATCAATGACTTTCGCGTAAAGTTGTACTTTATTATGTAGTTATATAAAATACATTAAAGGACAACACAGGATCTTTTGGTCCATTTAGACTATTATATCCACTAAATTAAAGACAAAAAACTCAGAACCAGCCTTTTTCATTCAAATATTTATCAAGACAAGCCATTCCAAAGGCCAAACGCCCTGTTAGAAAATATAACTTTTAGCTGAAGATGATTCCTACCCTGACAAAATTTATACTTGTGTCTCCTAGTTTTAACATTTTCACCATTAAATATATAAGAAACATATGCGTCAACACTCAATTCCCTATACAATCTTAAACACCTCAATCATATCCCCTCTAGCTCTTCTTTTTTCAATAGAAAACAAATTCATAGATCTTAACCTATTACCGTATGAAAATCTTTCTAAGTATTGTCCTATTATCCCTCTGAACCCTTTCCGACAACTCAGTATCCTGTCAAGACTGAACACGGTACTCCAAAATGTGACCTAGCCAAAAATCTATAAAATGACAATATAACCTCTTCAGACTTTTATTCGGTGTTTCTGTAGATACAACCTAAAATCCTATTTATCCTGCCACTTGGAACGTCACATTGTTCGGGTGTATTAAGATATTTTTCTTCCATAACATTGTTAAGGTTATTCCCATCAGAATTATACTCATAATTTAAATTGTGATGTCCCTCATGCATTACCTTGCATTTATTGTAATAAAAGAACCTCTGCCATTTATTCGCTCAACTCAGCAAAATAATCCAAATCATTTTATAAAGCAGTAGCATCCTCCTCACAGCTAGTAACACCTAAAATTTTAATGAAGTTCGCCTCCCACCCCAGTGGCACAGCGATATGTCTACGGACTTACAACGCTAGAAACCAGGTTTCGATACCAGTGGTGGGCAGAGCACAGATAACCTATTGTGTAACTTTGTGCATAACTACAAACAAACATTTAATGAAGTTCATATTTACAGTGTTGTTAACGTTATTTTTTGCATACCTTTTCATCTTTCACCACAAAAAGATCGTGTGGTTGTCACATCAAATGATATTTTAATCAAACTATTGAAGACACACGGGAGTGGACATAGACACTATCTAATCACCAGTTCATCCTGTTTCAATAATTTTAGACAAAGTATTAGAGTTTATAAAACCTTTCAATACCAAATCTGGTTGTTGGTAGAATAAGGGTAGAGATTAATGTAATGTATATTTTATATTTTGAAGTTACAATAAACAGAAAGTATTTTTTTTAGTCCAAGATGTTAAGGAACTAATACCATGCAGAAAATTTAAGTTCATATAGCAATGTTTTTTTAAATTATAATTTTGACATTACAGCAAGTCACAACTAGTTTGTTATAAAATTTAAAAAGGAACCAAAAATAGACATGTGGTATTGGACATGGTAGACGGGGTAGTACATAACATGTTTTATGCTGAAGAAAGTTAATGTTGGTACGTGTTTCATTAATACATTTATTAAATCGGATTAGCATAAACAGTTTTACTACGTTTTTTTAACATTAACCACTTTTTTTTTTACGTTTAAGAACAAAGTTATATTCTGAGAAAAAGTACTTCAAATATTTTCATGTGGAACTCGAAATCCTAAAGGATCATAACGCATTCAAATTAATGTGTTTTTTTTTATATGAGATGATTAATAGAACCGTCACTTATGTGAAATTAATAAGATAAAGTGTTCCAATCATAGACGATAGCAAAAACGTTACAACGATCATCTAAAGTGTAAGAGTAAAATGAAGAAAGGTGTTACGTCTCTGGTCGTTGGTTAATTTTTCGTAGAAATTCCTTCCGAGAAACTTCAACGATACAAGTCTTTTCTTAAATAAAACTAGTTTATTCTTTCTCAATTCAACTTTGCAATACACTTAATTTCCACAGTTACTTTAACTTAAACACATGCTATAATTCACAACGAACGATTCACGCACTTTACTTACTAACGCGCTTGACGCAATTGTCCGTCTGCAATTCAATTATTTTATCTATGTCATCACTTCTCGCCGGTCTTATATATATGAAATAGTGGGCGTCTGGAGAACACTCGAGCCTTCAAGAATGTTCTAGATAGTCTCTGGTCGTTGGTTAATTTTTCTTAGAAATTCTTTCCGAGAAACTAGATACTCATTACGTGTTACCAGCGTCACATGACTTCCGCTGTCGTAACAAGGGCTATAGGAACCTTTAACAAAGATACTGAGGATACTAATTCTACTGTATTTCATGGGATATTTTAACAAGGACTCTTATTACTCTTATATCACACATGGAGTGGTAGTAGTGATGAACACCTTGAAAATTTATAACGTTCCATTGACCCAGTAATCATGCAAGTACAGCTTAATCATGCAGAAGAGTTTGTAGTACTTGTAATTTCGTTCATTTTTCTTTATTAGAAGTGTTCACTACAGCTCTCCTATATTTAAGTTTTGAGTAACATGCCGGATACTCCAATGTACAATAAGAATGACATGTCCGAGTAGAAAATTAAAGAAATGAACTAACATTTAATACATTTTTTGGCAAATCCAGCAAAAGTTTTGCAAAACCAAATGAGTTAAATATTGCAATTATCTAACAGGAAACTAAAATTATGTAACTATACTGTATTTAACGTTCTAATCAATTTAAAATATCGCATATTATACAAGAACACAAAGACACATTTTTTTAAATATCATTTGTCAATCGTTAATTAATTACACTGAAAATAACAGCAGTCAGGTAAGATAGAATTTTATCTTAATAAAAGGGATGTTCAGGAATATGTGTGTGTTTATTTCTATCACAGCAAGCAAAAGGTGTTTTTGTTTTAGTAAGCGATTAGTATATAACAAATTAAAACCTTTGAAGATTCCTGACGAAAGTGAAGAGTTTACGGGCTCTAATTTTGTTAACAAACTATCTAATTAAACAAAATTTTTCATCGATTGTAATTAATATTATTTATAATTGGTTGTTATTTTTTCATTCAATGGCTATTTTTTTTTATTCTGAACAAATGCAGTCATCTATTATTTTTTTATTTAACCATTATTTTTATAAATAAATGTAAAAATAAAAGACGGGGTAATTTTATCAACGCCCCACTTCCGAACTGAATGCTGACGTTTCATTATTTCTAACATGGCATCAAAAAAGGTGGATTCAACCGGCGATAGTACATCTTCAAAAGTAAGTATTTTTATGCGTTTCATTTCAGTATACTTTGTAGATTTCATGGCAGAAATAATTTAGTATATTAACTTAAATATATCGGGTACTTGATATAACAAAATTTCTTAGATAATAAGGTTAAAGTAGTGGTGATATCTAACACTAACTCAGGGTAACTGTGTTACAACTTACAATACTTACACAGCCACTGCCAGAGATATCATTATCACTCACACTGTATCATTAACGTTAAACAGCCTTTAGTTTTTCAAGTTTCAGGCCTATTGCCTTAGTGTTTATATATATAATAGGCTGATCTACTCAATCACTTTAAGTTTAAAGTTTCAAGCATAATGGCATCAATCTTATTTAGCTTTAAGTCTGCCATTTTTAAAATTTAAATAACGTTTTTGACCACAATTTACAAAGTACAACTTACAAGATAACACTGTGTTTAGGGTCAACACGGGACCCATTGGTCCATCTCGACTGTTCCATCCTCTAAACTCAACTAAAATTATCAAGTAAATAAAATCTTAAAACCAGTCTTTATCATTCATATAGTTATCAAGCTTTTTCTTAAACTCACCTAAAGTTAAGGTTACTGCCTCCATAACATCCAAAGGCAATCCATTCCAGAGGCCAGCCACCTTCAGTGTAAGAAAAATAAAACTTTCTTAGCTGAAAATGACTCAAACCTTGCCAAAATATATGTTTGTTTGTGTCCCCTAGTTCTACTGTTCTTGCTGTCAAGTATGAAAAGAAAGATGATGCATCAACATTGTCAATTTCCTTTACAATTTTAAACACCTCTATCAGATCCTCTTCTATCTCTTTTTTTTTTTTCAAGAGAAAACAATTTCATAGATCATCTCTCATATGACAATCCCTCCATTCAAGGCACCATTCTAGTAATCCTCTTCTGAACCATTTCCAATGATTCAGTGCCCTTCCTAAGGTAGGAAGTCCAAGACTGAACACAATAATCTAAATGTAGCCTAAGAAGTGACCTATACAATGAACTTATAACCTTCTTACACTTGTATTCAATATTTCTGTGGATACAACCTTAAATCCTATTTGCTCTACCACTAGCAACATCACACTGCTTGGATGACTTAAGAGACTGATCAGCCATAACACCAAGATTCCTTTCTTTCATGATACTGTTAAGGTTATTCCCATCCAAATTATACTTATAATTCAAATTATCTTGCATTTATTTTAATTAAAACCCATCTGCCATTTATTTGCCCAACTCCCTAAATGATCTAAATCCTTTTGTAAAGCAGCAGCATCCACTTCACAGTTAGCAACACCCAAGTCCTTAATATCATCAGCAAATTTCACAAATTTATTGACCATTCCTTCATCTATGTCATTGATATAAATCAAAAAGAGCAAAAGACCTAAAATAGAGTCCTACGGTACCCTGCTTGTGACGATAATCCAGTTTGACTGAACCCATTTATAACAATCCTTTGCTTTCTTCCATCTAGCCATTCTTCTTTCTAATTAGCTAACTTATACTCCCACCTAAAGAGACCTTGTCAAACGCTTCCTGAAAATCCAGTTACACCAAATCTACACCCTTACTCTCATCCACTAAAGCATTAGCCTTTTCAAAGAATCACTAAGGGAAAATCTGCATTAAAATTCTTCTGACAAACCATGTTGACTAACCAACAACATTTTCCCCACAACTGAGATTTGTAAAAAAAATAAAAAAATGTCAATGGAAGCTACTCTCCAGTTCGGTAGTGGTGCATAGAGGGAGTCACATGCATCACATCATAGTAGTGCTCTCCTATTGGTGGAGAGGTGATGCATGATGATTTGCATGAGAGACATGTTAGAACTTTGGATTCCAACAGAGGGATGATGAAGGCTTGTGACATGCGTTTCTGAAAAAGTTCACATACAGAGGGCAGCATAAAACAAGAAAAGCTAATCTTGTGTGTGGAGGGAAGTACCTATTGGAAATACATTTTCATTTAGGAAAATTATAATTTCTGTGGTTCAATAAAATGATTTCTGTCAATGAACCTACAGGAGAGGACTCAACAGGTATGTGATTGAATATATTGATTGTAATTTTAGTTTCTTTAGCTATTCTTCTCTGAAAACAGCCACTAATTTTGAGGCATGATTGGAAAATTTTGAACTTTTGGCCTGTGAGCCTTTATCAACTTCAAATCCCTGCTTATTGTTTATTTACTAATTAATGGTATGAGTAAATATTATACCTAGCTTGTTATAATGGTCTTATGAAAGAGAGTTCTCTTTCATAACCATAGCTTTTACTTTGTGAATGAGAGATCTGCTTAGTTATGTTGGAATATGATTTTAGAGCCCATTGTTATACTAAATGCACTACTGTGCACATTTTTCTTCTTTCTGTAAAGGACTTTGAAAACCCATTTGTTCAAAATGTTGTCTTTTGGATTTACATCAGTAAAAACTTGCTATATGAATGTTTTTCTTCAGCAGTCAAGTTTTAAAAGCATTTTACAAGTCTGGGCAGCACAATTTGCTTTTATATGCAGGAAAGTTACTTGACAGTAGCTTTGGAATCAATCTGACACTTAAAGGGGAATGTTAGCTAATTTACATACATTATTTAATCTGTAAATAACCATTTGCAAACACAATTATTAAGTGTAGCAAAATGAGGCTGTTTTGTCATTCTTCACGTCAAGTTTTTATATTTTATTATGTTTTATTGGTATATTTATTCCTTGGACTAAGAAGAATTAAATATGACTTGTTTGTAATTAATGTAACCATTATTTTCTATTTGTTGAAGTGGTTATAATACATGTAACAATGATTATTCAGTTGTTAAATTGTGTTAGTAAACACAAACACCACTAATCATGCTGAGTACACTGGAATGGACGGCAACCTGAAGACTAAAGATGGAAGACTTTCAAAACATCATCTTCTACACATGTGTTCTACAATAGGCAGTTGCTTCCCATTCCAGTGTACTCATCATGAATACTCTGCTTAAACAATCTATCAAAGAATACCAGTAATCGTTTTTGGAAAATTGTTTGTAATGATAAAGGAACAGAAAAAAGTATTCATTGTAATTGACAAGCCAAATCCAGTATGTGTTTCTTTAAGCTTCTTTAGTTTATATATAAATGTAACTAAATAAATTTCAGGTGGAAGACGAGAAGCCAATTAAAGTTGACAAATGGGATGGATCTGCTGTGAAAAATGCTTTAGATGATGCTGTTAAAAAGGTTAGTTATTTTGATGTACACTCAACTTTATTGTAAAATTATATAATTAACATGATAATGAAAATACTCAAAAATAGAGGAACCATATTTTAATAAAATCAAAATTTATAACAAGGAACTAAAAAGAGGATGAAAATGATGTTCCAATTAGAGGGCTTGGGTGATTTTTGAATAATGAAAATAACAAAAATATTCACACACCATTGGAACCCACAGACACAAATTAGTAGATTTACACTGCAAGTTCAATTATTTAGGTCATAATTAATGAAATAAAAATAAAAATTGTACCTGGAAATAGACCTTTTGTTCCACGCTACCATATCATTGGATGTTAAAAAAATGTGAGTGATTTATTGCTTTACCTGGTAGTCTGATACTACGTGACACCCATGTCAAGGCAAGATAAAATGTAGTCCCAAGAAAATTGATCAATATCAAACTCGTACACATGGATACGTATTATATGGATAAATGAAATGAACATTTTCAATAGTGAAATGTTATGAATGAAGTATGAGCTTACCTATGTATTAGGTTGTCAAGAAATTAATGCTGTGTTTTGTAACACTTTCATTAACCACCTCCCAAAAAAGCATACATCACATTAGATGGTTTGTCCTTTCGATATTTATAAGTATTTTGTTAACTAGGTAGGTTTAGATAGGTTGTACAATTCATATCATTACTACTAGTAATATATTTCATTGTTGTATCTGAAATTTTTTTTTGTCATTGTTAACTATGTGCCTTATCATCCTAACTTTCTTCAGTGTAGAACTTAAATGTTTTTGCTTTGTTACATCACTGATGTGTTTGTTTCTTTCCCATTCATAGGGCTGAGCTTTGCTTTGGCCCCTTTTCCTATGTTTATACTTCTAGAAACCTAATTTTTTCCTCATAATCTACAAGTAGGAGTTCTTCCCCACAGTGCCTGCTTCTTCTATAGTTATTTAGTGCTCTAATTTTCCAGTTCAGAGCCCTAACATCCGGACTAATCTTGGCTCTTTAAGTGTTTTGTTGGGGGTACAAACTCTTGCCTGACATATTCACTCCATGAGTCTTTGCACACTTCTTTCTATGGATCAATGGCTCCTGCTTGCTTCCTCCCATTCACGATTCAGAGATCACACTACTTTGTTCCTACAGGATGCAGCATGGGTGGGATTCCTGATGACAGTGTGGAAGTCTGTTCTTATCCACTCTCAACACTCCATTCATTTGGGGGGGGGGTCTTCTTTCTCACCACAATCATGACCAGGTAGTTAGGGTGTTCAACTCGCAGTCTGAGGGTCCCGGATTTGAGTCCCTGTCCCACCAAACGTGCTTGCCCTTTCAGCTGTGGGGGGTGTTATAATGTGACAGTAAATCCCACTATTCATTGGTAAAAGAATAGCCCAAGAGTTGGTGGTGGGTGGTGATGGAAACAAACAAACAAACCACAATCGGGCCCAGCCTTCTCTTCGTCTTCAGAGCAAGCAGTTCACACACTTTTCACCTCACATTTCTTAGAGCTTGAGATGTTCTATGTCTTTGGGGGTGTGGATCTTCAGTGCCAGGGGGTACCAGTTCCAGGTCTCTGGGTTTTCAGATCCTGGATCTCCATTTTGGGCTCACAATCACCACATTGTGGTCTTAGTTTGCTATTTTGGTTCTCTGAATCTGGTGCTGGATCAATTATCTCCTCTCAAGAAGATTCTATCATGGAGTGGTCCTTTGATCCACAAGTCTTTAGATGTTTGGGTTCTTAGCTGGGAACACCTCATGTATGCCTTCATCACCCACTGGAACACCAAACTTCCTTCCTTTTGGTCTCCTGTTCCTCAGCTGCTAACTCTAGGAGTGGTAGTATTCTTTCAAGATCAGAGGGGTTTTCACATCTATGCTTACCCTCTTATTTGACTCCTCTCCAAAGTTTTATCCTTTTTCCACACCACTCTTTGTCTTGTTATACTTGTGTTTCCATCTTGGCTGGTGCAACCATCATTCCTACTGCTGTGACCTTTACTTGTACAACCTTCCCTACCCTTACCTCTGTCTCGGTCCCTATTCTGTGGACCTCGGTTGGATATTGTTCATACAGATGTCACCACACTCTGTTTTCATGCATGGCTTTTGTCAGGACTATTCTCTCAGCCCACGGACTGACTCCATGTGTTGTATCTTTCCTTTCCTGATCCATCAGACTTTCTTCCATGTCCATTTACCACAGGCGATGGTATGCCTTCCATCTTTGGTCTCTTCAGCATGATTTCCATCCTTTCCACCCTTCCATTCGTCAACTTTTTCTATTCTTCACCTGGTTGTTTGACAAAGGCTTGTCTAACTATTGGGTGGCCTTGTCAAACACCTTCTGTTGTCTCCAGGTTTCATCTGATTTTGTCTTCCTCCATCATTTCCCTCCTTTTTTCAACTCTTTTTGAGTCATGTGTCCTCAACATTCCTTTGAATTGCTTGATTGGGATCTCAGCGTGGTTCTTTATGCCTTTCCTGTCCTCCCTTTGTCTTTATGTTCCATCTACCATCTCTCCCTCAAGGCCTATTTCCTTCTCCTCCTTGCTTGCGGACATCATTGATCAAACATTTCTGCCTGTAATGTTACCCACTTCCTCAATCATTCCTCTTATATACTATATTCTGAACAGTACTTCCTCCTTCAAACCTATGCTGCCCATGAAGGCTGTTTAGCTTTCACATCCATTTCCTTAACTTCCATCTCCTACCAGTACTTCCATTCTGATCCTGGTCAGCTTATTTGTTTGGTTTGTACTTTATGGTGTTATGTGGCACGTCCTGCCTCTTTTTGGGTTTCATGTTCCTGATTTTTTTATTCCTCGGAACCCTTCCATTTCCCGTGTTCTATCCCCTGTCACATTAATTAGTTAGGTTTGTCAACTTCTTAAGCTGGCACATTTGGACTTATCCATGGAAGGTTGCCGTCTCCACAACATTTCTTCTCATCATATTTGTCACATCACCATATCTTTGCCTTCACCGTCTTTTGAAGGAGATCATCCAGGCTGGAATGTGGACTACTCCCAATACCTTCATCACTCATTATCTGTATGATCTGGCTGTATCTTCCTCTGGTGGATATCATCTCCCTCCTTTGGCAATTCTACGCATGTCTGTTTGCCTTTGACTGGGATAAGTCTTATCACTTCCTTTCATTTATGTTTTTATTTTCAGCAACCATTGATAATGGGATCTCATTGTGTGACAGGTTTTGCCTCATTGGGTATGTTTTGCCTCAAATCTGTACTATTTACTGATTGCACTACAACGCTCACTGTAGAGATGGGGTGTTTTCACAAGACCACTGGTGGCATACCCAGTGGTGCATGTGTGTGTATATATATATATATATGTTTCTAGTTATCGGGAAGTTTCACTCAATGGACTTCATGAGTAAAGCTGAAGGGGATTTTAGCCCATCCCTGCTGACCCTTTAATTGAATAACTTGTGTTAAATCTGCTTTTCAAAATAGGGAATCGTGAACTATGTGTTTACTATAAATTGTGATGATGATGTAAACCAATCTATTATATGTACTTCTGAAATAGGTTTTAAATATAGTCTCAGTTTTGCATTTCACAAGCAGATTGAATTGAAATATTTTACAACTACCATCATTAGTTCTGGTGCCCTTTCCCAGTACATCTTCACCCGTATCGCATGACTTTTGGTCAGCAAGCTTTTCCCCATTACCCAACCCTCATTAGCTGTGTTGCAGATATTGACAATGAATCCATCCTCTCTGATGACATTGCAGTTTTGAAAGCATGTTGTGAGTTTCAGGTTATTAAATAGTTTATCAAAATGGGATCTGTTGTTTACATGTACAAAAAAAGAATGTTACCATTGATGAGAGAGCAAATGTAGTTTCACAAATTACTTGTTGTTGTCGTGATGTGTATGTAACTATGGTGTGCATCATATGCAAAATATTGATAATAAATTGATGTTTTGACCTCCAATTCCAATTAAGGTTACATAGACAAGAAAAAAATCATGATTCATGGATACAGGCTTTGATAAATGAATGTGCAAATGTCAAAACACCTAACAGATAATGTACTTAACAAGAGTTAGATAAGTGTGATTTGGTTGTCCATTTAAATTATTTTAACATCTTAACCAAGGCCAAAGATGTATGCAGTTTTTTGTAAAATATATTCTGCTTATTAGTTGACTGTGTCTACAAGTCAGTCAAGTGAGTTAGGCAATTAACTTGCTACTTAAGCTATAAAGTAGTGGCTTCTGATTTTAGTACATGTTATGAAATTCATATAGCACTTTAAATTTTCCATACTGGTTGCAGAATATAGTTAACCAGTCCCTTCATCCAAGCAGCTAGTTTTTCTAAACTCTTCAATTTTGTATTTTTTTTGTTCCTCAGCAGGGACAAACATTACTTGTCCTATAAGGTGTTTCAAACTATAACATTTTCCAATGTCGTAATAAACTCAGTAAGACTTTAGATGCCGACCTTATTCTTGCATCGGTTTACAGATATTTTCAACTTATTACAACTAAACATTATTTGCTAGAGGGGTTTCAACAATTACCCAGTAGTGCATGGCCTATTCATAATATTGGACCTTTGACCTATAAACAAATCAGTTATCATTGTCACTTTGCATGTCGTGTATGAAAATGTGGTATGTGTCATGTGCAGAAAATCCTTAACAAATTAACATTTTGACCTCTTATTCCAAACATAGAAACCATAAGTCAGGGAAAACATGAGAGGGTGGTGAGTTCAGAGGCATCCATAGCTGTCAGGAAATAGTTGCACATACTCTTGGCTGCAATGTGATGCTAAGAAAAATATTCGTCTTTTACAGATACTTTGTAATTATTGATAAATTAAGCATTAATATTACAAATTTCAGGTATTTTGTAAAAAGAAATTAGCATTTTTTAGAATCATGGCCTTACTGTGCAGTTTGTAATGGATGGTAACAACAATAGGGGACACGACCCTGAAATACACATACCGACATAACAGCAGTAACAGTTCAGTGGTAAATGCCTGTCTTTCCATTTTAAGTAAAGCATTTATTCTACAAATGAGTTAACTATAATCAGCTGAAGAAATGCATGGAGAAAATAATCTTGCTCTTATTCATTCATACTTGCATTTATGAGTGGAATTTTTGAAGGGTCTGCCTTAACTTGATACATCCAGAATTTTTACTTGTAATCCAAAAACCAGTGTGTCAGAATAAGATAAAATGCAAATTGTAGATAATCATATATTTAGATTAATTTTCAGAAAGGAAAGAGTTATAGAACAAAACTGAAAATTCACTAAATTAGAAACCTGACTTATAATTATCATTTTGTAGGATAATATCCAATCACCATTTCCACTGGTTGTTTAAGACATGGGTATTTCTCTGGTTTTACAGTAACTGTAATCGGTGGCTGAATACTGATATGTTACCTTTTTCAAGTCTCACAAATAAACTGCAGAGCTAGTGAAATCTTTAAGTTTGGATAGTTTATATTCACACAAACTCTTCCTTCCTCTAATGTACATGCATTAATCAGTTTGTCTAGACATTTGAATACTAAAAACATGTATGTTATAGAATATGTAAAAAAGTCACTTATAAATTTGAATTTGATGACAAGGAACCCACTTTTTAGAAACAAAAGTTTGGAGATGGTTTGACTGGGTAATGGAAAAAACTTTATTGTGAATGTATGACATTTTGACAGTATTATGTCATCCTCAGGAACAAGTAGTTTATATATATATAGATCAGTATGTAACAAAGAGGTCACATGACTGGAGATTGCTTCACAGTTTAGTATAGGTATCTTGGTAACCCCAGGCTGTTGGTTTAGGATGGAGCTGTTTTATTCAGTTAAGATAGCTTCTTTTATTCTGCATTTATTAATGTTTGGTTCTTTGTTTAAAATTACAGTGTTTTGTATTGATACAGTGTAGTTTTTGAGTTGCAATGGTGGTAAACATGGGAGGGTTTTTATTATGTTAGGTGAATCTGGTTTCCAATATTCTTTCTGTTCCTCTGACGTAGAATTCTGGACAAAAATCGCATGTTATTTTATAAATTACATTGGTATTGTGTAATTCTATGTAATTTTTATTTAATAATGATTTTAGCATAGGGCCAGTTTTAGGGTGAATTTGAAGTCAACAGGAATTCTATGTTTAATGGCAAGTTTTCTCCAAGTATTAATTATTTTTGACCCATTATCGGGGATAAATGGTAAATTGCAGTGTAATGTTGTGTTGTTTGATGTATTGGTGTCAGTTTTGTTTGTGAGTTTTGAAGTTTTTGTTCTGGTTGTTGTGTAGAAATTTTTCAACAATGGTCAGTGGAAATTTGTTGGTGTGAATGAAGAAATGTTTTATGGAGTTGATCTCTTCATCTATGTAGTCAGTTTGGGTTTATGGGCAGAATTCCAGGAGAGGTAGAGGCCTGTGAGTGATTTTTCGGTGTATTTTGGTCTTGAACTGTGTGTTAGATCTAATAATGTTGAGGTTAAGAAAAGATAACTGCTTGTTAATTTCGTGTTCAATGGTAAATTTAATGTTTGGGTGAATGGAGTTTGTGTTTAAAAAAGTGTGTATGTGTTCAGTAGAAGTGAAACTAGCAAAAGTGTCTTCAACATATCTGTACCAGTATAGGGAATGATCAAGTGTAGATTGCATGGCTTGTGTTTTGATCTGGGTCATAAATATGTTGGCAAGAACAGGGGAAACAGAGTTGCCCATGCTTAAACCATGTTTAAACATCATACATTTACAATACAGTTTTTTTTCACTACTCAGTCAAGCCGTCTTTAAACTTTCACTTATAAATTTTTTTGTCCTTCATGGATTAATTAATGTGAAAATTGACTTGAAAGATTATTTCAGGTTTTTGGCTGCATTGTGGAAGTAAACTTGGAGAATTGCTTGAAAAATATAAAAAGTTGTACTCTGTTGAAATGTAAACTTTGTATAACAAATTTCTTTATTCAGAGTGCTTTAAGTTTTACTGGATAATACAAAGTTAATATATTTTGCATGCTTTCCTTTATGTAAAAAATCACAACCTTCTTAGTAGTGTTTTTGATATGCTGATATTACAAAAGAATGTGAAAGGATGAGGCTCACTAGTTGAGTTTGCATGGAATGGTTTGGAGCTGAATATAGAATACACCATGATGCCTTCTGAAGTTACTAGTTAATTTATATTACATTAAATTAGAATAAGAACTTGTTTGGTGTACTGGTATTTACCATGAGATGTAGAAGTGTAAAAAATAAATTAATAAAACTGGACAATACATTTGTTTGTTCATTTATATGCAAGGTATCTTTGTTGTAGATTACTGTTGAAGTAAATGTGATAAAAGTTCACAGAATTTATTACATTTTATTATATATGCTTTTTATAACACTTAATTACTTGTAAATGCACCAAATACAGTAACAACAAATAAATCAGACATATCGGAATAAGACACATATTAATCATAATTAATATAATAACAGCTAGGTAACTAATATACGTGCTTTCTTTAGTCTCTAAACTATATAAGTAATAAAATAATCAACTTTCGTTTTTAACTGTTTAATCTTTGTATTTGGTTTGACTTTGAACTTCACTATTCTAAAGTATTGAATTATCTGTTCTACAGTATAAAATGTTGTTAATATATACTAATTTTAAGCACTGTGCTATTAAATAAAGGATCTTTAAAAATAATACAGTTTGAGTTTGTTGAAATCATTCTTTATTTCACAGGTTTTTACAGAAAAATACAAATATGTGGAGAATCATTGGTTAATGGATGGACGGTTAATAATCTGTACAGTAGCTGTTGGAGCAGCTATGTTTGCGCTGCTGTGGGACTATCTCCACCCTTTTCCTGAGTCTCGCCCAATTTTAATTTTCTGTGTTCTTTCATATCCTTTTTAAAAACAGGTTATATGAATATTTTACTCTTACATTTGTTTAATGTGTTCTATTCATTTATATACTTTTGTTTTCCTCATATGGAAAATATGGCATTAAAATAAAACCTGATTAATAATATGTATGTTTCATAATTAAAAATGAAGATAATTATCTTTTGGTCTGGAAAAAGTCAATATTTGTAATTAGGTTAAGTCGTTAATTGTGCCATTAGCAAGAAATTGATTCATCAGCTGAGTTGAATGTTGAAATCATAGTTTTACACTACTTAAGAATATTTGAGAGACCTTAAAAATTTTTAGCTTCACCTTGGCTTTCATTTGACCACCTGAATGTAAGATTTTTACTTATGAACCAACACTTAGTTTTATTATGGATTTTTATGTCTCGATAATGTAGTTTTAATATTTTACTTTTCCCTGCTTGATGTATCTTGAATATGTATTATCCATTTATGTTTTAATTTAATTAGTACTTAGTAATATTGCTCAAGACATTTTCCTAATTTTAATGAAAAGTTTTCATTGTGTTTGAAGGTTAGGAGTTTGAACTCCAATATGTGATGTGATAGAAAAACAGAAGCTTCAAACTTGTTTAAAGCCCTTGTTTGTTTTGCTGTATTTTTAGCACTGGATTGGTTGCTTTTACGTTTTAAATCTATAGTACATGTCTCTCTGAAAAAAAAATTAGTTTGTTTTTGTATTGCATAATAAAGTGGGTAAAGTTGAAAATTTCACTTTAAGATTATACATTTTCTTATAATTAGATGTAGTTGATTTGATTTTTTGTTTTCTCTATCATATTTAAAATCTTTCCTGGACATTTTAGTGTAGTTTCTTATTGGACAACTTGCTGATTAACATCTAATTAATAGTAACTTCTGATCAGAGCAAGTTACCTACTCAGAACACAACTTAAAATCTACCTGGTAATAAGTATAGCTAACTATATATACTTTTTTTAAGCTTTTATAATGATTAGATTACGGTATTTTATCAGTTGAGTGCACTTGCTGTAAATGAGATGTTTGACTGTAACCCAGTAACATCTCGTGAGGTTTGGCTACATTTGAAGATGTTGGCTAGTTCTAAATATATATATTAAGCTAACGAATGCAAAACAATCTATAATAAAAGTATTATAATAAAATCAAATATACTAAACCTTCTTACCAATACTGTTAATTGTTTAATATATTTTTCTACTTGTAACTGATATTTGGAGTTTAGTAATTGTTTTAGTAGTCAGATATTTTTCTTCATGTGATTGCTGTAGTTTGACTTGCCATTGGTCACTAATCTTAGACTATTTTTATAGAGATATATAAATTTATTTTTGAGTCTTTCTTGATTTTTTTCTAACAAACTCATTGCATTAACAACCACATATTTTTTTCTCGTGGCAGATATTTTTTATACATTAAAACAGTATGTTTATCATACTGTAAACACATTTCTAAAAGAACTTTTCTGAGTTTTATTCAGAGCTGTGTGTTGATTTCCATGCACGCATGAAATCTAGAGCTTGGTCATCAGTTGATGTAATCAATTACCTATAAATGTCAATAACATTGACTCGTGTTGTGTAAAACAATCATTTGATCGTGATTACAGTTAACTTAGTTAATGTCATGAAAACAATCAACTAATCAAAATTAGTTTTCTGATTATTACTTTATTTAATTATTTCAACTGTCCAAGTAACAAAATATTATCATTATGACTTCTCATTATTTTAATTATTTCAAGGTTATTGAGCATAATAAATTTAGTGTCATAACTCACAAAAACAGTGAACTAATGGAAATTAGTGTTTCCAGTCATTACTATTTTTGATTATTCCAATTATCTAAGTCTTGTGAGAATTATGAATTAATTGAGTATAATTGATTAAATGAACCCAATGATTAGTTCATTACTAAATTTCACTAATTTCCTAATTCTTATAGAAACCTTAGTTTGTAATCTTTTAATTTTTAAAAGCCCAGGTGCATAATGCAATGTATCTGTTGCATGGTTTGTTTTATTTCATTGCAAGAGAAAAAGAAATATTGGACCAAAATAGTGTGAAACTTTAGATGAACTTTTAAAAGGTATGCAACTTCTGTAAATAAAATATCTAAATATTATAAGTTATATTTATATGAACTTGTAGCTTTGCAAAATAATTTAATTAAGCCTACCTCATCTTGTTCCACAAAACAATTTTTTTTTTCCCATTCATACTGTAACATAATTTAAAGCAATTATAGAATGAAAAAAGCAAGCTTTAAAAAAAGCATTCCTTTTTTATTCTGATGGAAATTGTTCTCAAACAACTTTTTAACTAGCAACATAACACAAAATTAAGCTTGCATCATTTTGTTCGAATTCTTAAGAAAATTTCTGCTGAACTGGAAGCTACATTGGCCTTTGAAGTTGAAAAGATTGGGAAAAGAGCTTTCTTTAGATCAGTTGCATCTCAAAGCTGACAGTTAAATGACAATTGATTCTAAGGAACAGTTATTAACTAAAGTCTAAAATTACACTTGTAATGAAGCTATTACAATTAGCACTGTTTTGGTGAAAAACGTTTTGACTAGAGACACTGAAGTCAATACAAATCCAGTATTTGTGATTTTAAAATTTTTGATGTGGAAAATTAATTAAACTTTTATTGTATCAATTTCAGCTATGAAACATGTTTTTTTTAGATAATGTGTGTAACAACAACAAGTTTATTTTTTCTATAATTCTATTAAATTAAGTAGTGGAATTTTCCTCTCAAAGTGGGTTGCAAACAATCCTGGTATGATTTGAAGGAGGAGAATGTGCTTTTATGTTTTTTCAAGTTTCATGTAATACTGAATATTCATTGCAGAATTTGTTTGCACATGCCACAGATTCTGTAGGAAATGTTTTAACAACTTTTGCATAATATAATAAACTTAGTTACTGTGCAGTAAATAACTAGTTGAGAAATGTTTTTTCAACTTTATTTTGGTAAATTTTTTTACGAAAAATAGAATTTAGTGACTTTATAAACTCGCAGGTTTTACACTGGCATTTGAGAGATATCATCACCGATTATTATTATTATTATTATTATTATTATTTAGACTTTTCTTAGATGTTAAAATATATATATATATATGTGTTTTTAGTGTTTCATTATTTGAATATAATGAACTTGTATGCTTAAAACCTATAGATAAAAGAGCAACTATTGCCAATAGTTGGGTTTGTAAGAGAAAAACAATTGGATTTGGATGTATTGGGTTAAGAATGTAAATAATACATGACAGTAAATATGCACATTATAATAATGTAAGCTATTATTTTTGTTATGATAAATGAAATTCTCAGTTTGATATTTCTTTACTAGGTGTTAAGTAAGGTAAAGTGTTTAGTTTTTGTTTGAAGATTAGGTAGGTAGTACAAACATGACCAAAACTTTTCATGTTTTCAATTTTGTAGTTACACGTGTTTACACTTTGAAGTTTTTTTCCTTAACTTGTCATACATATTTCGTACTGATGGGGGTGTTGACTCTGTACACTACATTCCTCGAGAAAGGCATTTTTCTGATTGCTTTAATGAAAGATCCAGCTGGGGTAGACCCTGACAACACTTGGACTGCTAGCTCTTCCTTAAAAAGGTTATTATTATTATTTACTGTTGGAAAAGGTTTTGTTAGTTCATGTACAGATGTTTATAAAATCATTTACATGTTGTATATTGTTGCTGTAAAAAATTAAACACAGAGAAGCACATACAAGTATGAAATGTTTAAAATTCTAGTTGTCATAGTATACAAGTTAATTCTAATTCTTCATACTTGATGGTTGTATGGAACGTATTTTGAATGGTTCTTGTAATTTACAAGAAAATCTTATGCCTTGTATTATATTGTACTTTGCTTGACTATTAATATTTACTTTGAAAAATAAAGAAAATATGTAGAGGAGTGTCTTACATTTAATTTTTTATCAGTATCAGAATAAAAAGTATCTAAAAGTGTAAATTAATATGTAGACCTCAACAATTTTTTACAGGTTTGATGATACTTATCACTTGGTACTTGAGTTTACGGATGCCAAAACAAAATCCACTCGTGATGTGAAGCTCTCTAAGTCTATAAGCTGCTGGTTTGATGAAAATGGGACCCTACTGTTTGATTTGTTTGAGCCTGAAGTTTGTAAGCTTCATAACAGTTTATTGGCAGAAAAGAAGAATAAATGAGGCATTTCATTTTTTCTGAATTAAAACAGTTCTTTGTATCTCATTAATGTGTAACAAGGTGCATATTTTGTTTCCTTGGTCAGAAATAAAAAATTAAAAAAATTTTTGTTCTAATATTTCTTATTTGTAAGAATTTATTATTTTCATCTATTATCATAAAAACTGGTTGTAGCACATGTGTAATGAGTTATTCTTCGAAATTAAATATAGCAAAGATTACAGGGTAATCCAAAAATTAGTTGTGCCAGTGTTAACTTTCTTGTGTTTCAGTTTCATGTGTAAGCACATGCAAACAGTTCCTAAGCATGATACACTGACTGAAAGAGGTTAATAAGCTTTGGTACTGTAAACCTAATGTTATCTTTACAGAAAATAAATAACTTTCTTACCATCTTGCAATCTCTCCAGATCATTCTAACAAATTTGCTCTTCTGGACTTAGCTTGATGCTTCTTAAGCCATGTTGTGTGATTTCTAGTTGAAGATGTTGATTGAATTGTAATTTTTAAAAAAGGCTAATATTGCTAATTTGCAACTCCATCTCATCAGAAATCCAAAAGTTATGTCGTAAAGATAAAGCTAAGTGCTAATTATTACAAGTATAATAAAAATAATTTATATTTTATAAAGACAATGAGGGATTGATATGTACGTAATTTAGCTAGCTATAGTAATATAGAAAGTTTAATGCTACGAAAACTATAGAAACGAGAAAGTCAAAACTACAAAAACTGAGTTGCTTAAAATTTAAAAATATTTATCCATACTTTGCAAATCCCTGTTATTATGTTAGTCTGAGCCAAAGTAGTGATAAAATTTTAATTAGAAGTAGCAGTTTTGTTGTTTTGGCTTTCTTGTTTTAATACTTTTTTGTAACATTTAAACTTTCTATATTACTATAGCTAGCTAGGTTACATGCATATTTATTCCTATTTGTCTTTATAAAATGTAAACTTTTTATTATATTTGTTTGTTTCCTTTTTATTAGCTATATTTTTGTGCACCAGCAATACCAAGCATGGGGTGTGTGTGTGTGTGTGTATGATTTTATTACTCATCAGGATCTCTACCAACCTACCTTCAAATCTAATTATATACCCAAAGTAGTGCATCATTCATCTTATAAATGTGTATTAGTATCCCTTTCGGTGCAAAAAAAGAATCATTGGGACTCCAGACAGAAGAGTTCTGTGAAAGAATTACAGCGATAAGGTGTATCAATTTTTTCTGTGCATTTGTCTGGAAAAGTCACTTACTTACTTACTTTGATAAAAAAAAATTGTTGAAATAGTGAAATTTTGATTCACTCCATAAACGGTGTACAGCAACATAGGCGGTTGATAGTTTTGCTAAACCAATACTGCAAAATAGTCATTGTTAATATTCAGACATTTTAAAGGTGGTTTTGAATGTGTGATGTTTATAGCTATCATTTTGTTTCATCACAATCCCTGCTGTTAAATACTATGGTACAGTAATGATTTTTTTTTTCAAAATGTCCTGATGCTTGTTTTCCAGATAATTATTGCAGGAAGATCTACTAGCTTCTCCTTGCTCTTTCATCTTTTTAATATCGCTTCATAAATAGTTTTCTCAACTAAAGCGATGGTTTCTAAACTAAATTCACCTAATAGCATAATTAATATTATTGACAGATGCAGTAAGATTGGTATATGTGAGAAACTAATTGAAACACTAAAATTTTATAACCCAGCTATTTGATTTTAAATAATTATACTCCCATCAACATGCATTGTAAGGTAGACGCGTATTTTGTAATTCTTTTTTGTGTGCTTTATAGTTGTTTATCTGAAAACGCAACGCTTATTAGTTTGATATTTCATATTTGTACGTTATGGGAAGTAATCTGTGACCTTACTTTGAGCATAGCATATATTTCATTAAGAAAAAACATAGGGCCTGAAAGCATATATATACTGACTTTTTTTTATCACAAATATTTTTTCAGGAGTACTTAATAACTGGAGTGGGATAGAGAAAGCTTGTTCATAACTGAGAACTAAAAAACGCTAACAGAAGAATATTCTAGTTAGGTGATATGTCTGAACTTTACAGTGTTAGAATGGCAATAAAAACCACATTTTCTAATTTTCCTAAGGTACGAAAAATATAATTAGTGTTTTCAGTTTTCTCCATTGTTATATATACATGTTACAGTGTATTATCTGATTGATAGTTCAAAATGTGTTAATCTTTGTGTTCACATAAGCCATTTTAATAGTGAGTCTTGAAAATCCACATTTCTGGCAATGTTGTCGGGTAAAATAAGTACATTTAAAAAATATTAATGAAGATGGAGGCTAATGCCTAGAAATATGAAACGTGCCACTCATTACGATCATGTCATTAGTCTTTCATGAAGACTATTTTTTATTAAGTATATTTTATTGGTCATTGTAATGACAAATTTGTAAGACATATAACACGATAGTTGACGAGATGCCTTAAACAATTGTGGATTACCATTTCAAACCAGCTTAATTGACGATAGTTTGTCACCCACTGGGACTTTATATTCACTTAGAAGTAGTAGTTGTTATTTCTAATTTTATTTTGATATTCACTTGTACAATGACCAATATTGTTTAAAGGTGGACTTCATAGTAATGAAGAAGATTCCTTTGGACTGTGAAAAACCGCTGTACTTGTGCTTCTACCAGGATGAAGCCAAATCATAATTGACCAGCAATCTTATTCTTCCAATCTAGTGACCGCCAAAACTGGTTGTGTTTTTATTTTGTAAGGCGGTCATCTGAGGTCGGCATTTTTTGCCCCTCCCAACAAACCTTTGGTGAAATGACTCTCCTACTAATAATGTAACGTATTTTTCGGTGTGTAAGACGTACTTTTTTTACTCCAAAATTTGATGTCAAAATCTGCTTGCGTCCTATACACCGAAGGTATGAATAATATATATGTATATATACGATATACACAAGCCATGTGTAAATATATTTAAATAGGCATACATAGTTTAGTTCAATTGAATGTGTTATTTATAACAATAGTAGTTTTTTCTTTTAAAAACATAACTATTTATAATGCTCCCTAAATAATAATAAAAATTACAGGGAAAGCAATGAAGATTTTGTAGGTTTTGAACGAAACTAAATAACAGTAAACCATTTTTTGATTTACGGTATTTTCTTATTTTGTTGTTTTGAGCTCTTTTGTATTTAGAACAATATACACTAATTTTTAAAGTATCAAATTGAATTTTTGTTCAATAAAAATCTTTCAAATGCGACTGTAGTTTTTTTCCCCCAAAACTTTGTCTTCAAAATAAGGGTACGTCTTATATTCCGAAAGATACGGTACCTGTCCAGTAAACATTGGGTAAGAAATTACCCGCGCTATGAGCCTACAAGAATGGTAAAAAGAGAATTGAAGCAAAGTACCAAACTATATAGAGTTATTTATAATTATTGTTAGAAATTCGTATCATAAATACTGTCAAATGGGCATTAACTAAGGTTGGAATGACCCTTCCTGTGTACGAGAAAAGACGTGGAACGATATTTGTGAAGGATTGTTTTATTAAACATATGTAGAACACGAAGATACTCTTTGGCCAGTACAAGCAAATTTAGTTCATCATTTGTCAAGTAAACAATTCGTAATACAGAAAACAAATGTAATTGGTTTTAACATCTTTAAACAGTCTAGTTAAGTATTAAATTTTAGCGCTATAACGATCCATCACGGTTCGCTTTTGCTGCACTTCTGTTCGGTTTTTCTTTTTTGTGGATGCCCTTTTACGATATATGATAACAAGCGCTTTTAACTAATATAAATTACAAATATATTTTTCACACGCAAGTGCGTGATCAGTCCTATATACTGTACAACTGTTCTAAATACAGATTTCGTTATATTTAGTAACGCGATTCTGAAATTTCTAATGAATACCGCGTATAAAATTATTCACTAAACGGTAAACCGAACTACCATAATATAGAGGACAAATCTTTGTCCTTCAACCCAGCTGTTTTGAAGATTTGGATCAAAACGGAGTAAGAAAAACTGATCGTTCGAAAACAATACGTAAAATATTTGAGGTGGAGGTCAGGTATAAAACGAGAACAACGTCAAAGATGGCCACACACCTGAGAAGAAAATGTGAGCATCATACGTTACAATAGACGAAGGAAATTAAAAGTAAATCCTCACAAGCTTCATGTTCTGTATGCAGTAAAGGGCACGGTGCTCCTCAGCTGAAACTTAAGGACGTGTTCAAAACTAAATTAAACCTGAACAGTCAAAAGCCAAAAGAAATAAGAACAATTGGAATATTTATGGCTAAAGGTATGAGACCATATTAAATAGTGGATAATCCTGGATTTAGGACTGTTTTTGGTTTTGTTACCAAGATACGAGAATCTTTCGAAGACTCATTTTGGTACAGTAGTAATTTCAGACCTATACAGAGAGGAAAAGGACAAGCTTGATACTGAACTGAAATTTGCTTCTGATATTTTTACCAGTGATGAATGAACTTCGAGACTTACTGAAAGCTACATTACCATTATTACTGGACATTTTATAAACAACTGGGAAATGATCAATTAAGACAGTTAAATGGTTCGTATGTGACGGATGTAGTGAAGGAGGCTGTATCTTCTTGAGACTTCAAAAACTGGTAGAACTTAAACCGCATCTCATGTGCGATTCTTTGCACACATTGTTAATTTGGCTCCTCAAAAAGGCCTTCGTTTTTTGAAAGTGGATATGTTGTTAGGGCGGGTAATAAGGGTACTTTCGTTTTTCCACAGAAAATCAACAACGAATGATGAACTGAATGCAAATCAACTTATGCTTAAACCTCATCAGCACAAACTGATTCAAGACATCTCAATGAGGTGGAATTCTGGTTTTGACTTTCAACTTTTTGTCTCGTTGCTTGGAACAAAATCTGTAATTGTGGCAACATTTATGGACAAAGAAGTTTATAAGAATGATTATATTCAACAGTGCCTTTAATATTTTTTTGTTATAAAGTTGGTGTTTAATCCTCTTTTATTTCATATTTAATATTGATAATGATAAGATTAGGAGACATAAATTTCGTAAGGGAAGAAGTCACATTCAGCTAAGAT